TGTTAGAAGAACTGTTAGCTTCACCTCATTGCCCAATATGACAAGTTTAAATTGGTTGAATAATGAAGGAATTTGGGCTTGTTGACATCCAATATGGTGATTAACAGGAAATAATTTAATTTTGTTTGTATTCTAGCCTCTGATTGGTTAATATCCAAAAAGGAACACAAATTATTTCTGTATAACCTGGTTTGGTATGGGGACACACCCCCCTGACAACCAGCTGAATCATCTGTATGCATACAATCCTCTCATTTCCAGTCCTCGGGATTCATGGAAAATTCCAGATTTAATAAATATACCTTTAACTTCAAACAATAATTCGATCTTACCACGTGTAAACAAGCTGCTAGGCCTATGTATCAGTTTTTACCTCCCCTCGCTTCCCATCACTTCCGTTACTACGGTTGTATTATTGAGCGGCAAATTTGAACTAATAAAAAGCAACGAAATTTTACACCCATATTTATTGAATGATTTTAAAATTAAATTATAAGGAATGACTCTAATTCTTGGCCAAATTATTCGAGTATAACCTGGTTTGGGTCAGTTTACGCTGTTTTATAATCCGCTTCGCGGATTATAAAGCGTAAACTGACCCAAACCAGGTTATACTCGAATAATTTGGCCAAGAATTAGAGTCATTCCTAAAATAACTCTTGCTGAAATCACATCTATTGAAAACTATTGAAAACCTGCCATTCCTGGTACCTGAGGCTTGTTTAACAGAGCAAGCACTCACGAACATTTCTGTTGGAGGGATAAGGAATTTTGAACGTTCGCTCTGTTGAACAGGCCTCAGGTACTGGGAATGGCAGGTTTTCAATAATTTTCAATAGATGTTATTTCTACATATATATATATAGGTCTTACACATTTTCGTAAAATTTGCATCTAGACAGTGTAGTTGGGTTATATGGAAAAATTATTTTACTTGCAAATTATTTACTTGTGTCTCACATTTATTAATTGCACTGTGAAAGGATAAAATGAAGACAAGGAGGTAAAATTTGACTTAGTAGGTTGTATTGATAATTTTTTATGATAACCAAGTCTGTTTTAACATCACTGGGCACAGATAAGAGAATAGCAGTAAGTATTGAAGTAAAATTATTATCCCATGTCCAGCTTCATCATCTCATTGACTGAGCATGACAAACCAAAGGAACAGTAATGGAAAAGACCTGTATTAGTTGGTATCATGCAGGGAAAGAATCTGTGAAATGTCAGCTAGATTAGAACACAATAGTTAAATTGCATAATTGTAAATATCTTTTGAAGTAGCTGTATCACAAATTAATAAGTTGGCAGTGGCTATCACTGATTGACTGTGACCACACCCTTACTCTAAACATATAGACAGACCTGGATTCTCTAATCACACCACAACCAGCCAGTGTCATAATGACTCAATCACCATGGTCACCGATAGAGTTGCATGCATTTGAGGACTCATAAATCTTGACCGAGATTTGACTTGGCTTAATATTGGACTGACGCTGCCATCGACGGCTTCAGTACAAAATGCTGCCGTCACGGTTTCAGTCTAAATATCCTCTAATGTCATACCTAGTACATGCATAAACATTAACCAAAGCATGTTAACCGTGCATAATTATGTTTATCAAAGTAGAAGTAAATCCTTAGTCAATTATGAAATATATATAATTAGTATACTGGTGTCTCATTATATCGCGGTACTTAATTCTTTAGCATAAAAAGTGTAATTCCAAATTTTTACTTTAACCTTTCATCAAATGATATTCATAAACCTAACTATGGCCTAACTTTTTAGTGTCAAATTATTTTCCAAGCTTGCATCGTTTAATTTGTAGTCTATTTTTAAAACAGGAAGTCTTGTTTACCTCCTAAATCAGAGAGTCTCAATGTATCGCAGTATGGGAAAACATAGAAGCTTGTAGTTGACATGGACTTCAATTTTTAAATTTACGATGTACATGTAATTCTACATGAAAACTAAACAATAATACAAACTTAAGACTTTCAAAATATCAACTTTATTATGGATTTTACAGGTTATAAATTCAATGGTCTAAATAAAATAAAAACGGGAATGGAAATCTGTAAAATTACGTTTTATTTGAATAAAAAATTTTCCAACGGATGTTCCATACTTTTTAATCATCACAAAAGTCAACATTCAGACGACAGACAGATAGTCCATCAACAAAAAGGATATGAGCTATGTATCCGAATTTTTGAAATATACCGCGATACAATGGAACCCGCGATATAATGAGAATTGAGGATACAAGTTGATTTATTTTCAACATTTGTCCTAATTTTTTTTTAAACCTCGAAGTGTCTATCGGCACGACGGTCGTGCCGATTATTTTCGTTATTCGCACGACGGTCGTGCGAATTACAGTTCCTATCCGCACGACACCTGAGAGATAACTCTAACATTATATACATTAAACGTAAACTTTTCACCTAAAATTTAATCCAAAGAAAAAAAAGGATGCACATAACACACACATGTAGAACTAATTATAACATTCAGTTAAGCAAAATTTGCTTACGTTGAATTTTCTTCGTGAATCGTCGTGGCACAGTATAATAAGAAATTAATTTTTTATTCGTCCTTTATATCATCTCTTGGGTACATGTAACGTACTTCTAACGTTATTTTGATTGGAAATATAAAAAAAATTATAGCTATTTATTTTCAATAATTTTCTTTCGTTTTTATGGTGTTTATATTCTCTTTTCATAATTTTCCATTTTTCTGGATGGCTTAATAATCTCTCTCTCTCTCTCTCTCTCTCTCCTTCCAGTATACTGTACACAGGCACTTGTTTCGTATACGGGGCACCCCTACTTATTTTTACCACAAGGTACCTAACTCAATTTAATCAGGCACCCCCGCTTCAAGCTCGTATTTTGTTTATAGATCAATCATTAACCTACATGTACTTTAAAATGACATCGTTCGCTTAGACTTTTTTCTTGTCAAATAATCGTTTCGGGCGTCACTGGTCGATCCTCTTTATTGTAAACCGCTCATTTCTTCCTCGAAAATTATCTCGATACAAAATAAGACTACGAATGGGATACATAGACTTCCGGTTGGGTTATAAATTAAGGATAAAACCAGATACCTCGTAAAGGAATACTCGTAAGTCTCTGGACTTATCCTACAAAATTATCAAGCGTACAAGTTAAAAAAATCTTTAAGACGTGCAAAGGCAATCAAAAATCGGATAATTTTCTATCCGCAAATTGAACAGAATTCGTGATTCCGTGCATATTTTCCCTATCTATTTTATTTAAAAATAAATTTTTATTTTAAATAGTAAATCGATTAATTTCTAATATATTCATAGAGGATGATTTTTAGTAAATTTATGCAATATTACATGTATATTCTTTGATAGTGAACATATATAAAGTTTCGTCTAAACATTTTCTTATTTAAGTACGTTGATCAAACGTGTTTGGAGTTTTTCAAATATACACTGAGGAACCATTTGAATTCATTCAAAAATTCTTCAAAATCAATATGATACGATATAATCCATGTTCATGAAAGAAAAGACACTGAATTTAATTTCAGATAAGTAAATATAAATATTTAAAAAAAAAAAGAAGAAGAAGAAGAAGCATGAGAAAGATTCACATTTAGTCTACTTTATTACAATACTGAGACCGTAATCTTGGATTCCGATAAAATAATTCACGTGTACATGTACAGTATCATAGGACACAGACTACCACTATTTCGCTACAATATATTCCTTTATAACATAAAAATTAATTTAAAGAATTTGACTGCCTCAATTAAACTCACCTGACATTTGGCACAGAGCTAGAACAATTCCAGTCTAAAAATATTCTGAATCTCAGGAAAATTTGTAGTGTACAAGCCATGCTGTGACACTTCAAATAACCCCTACACTGCACATATTTCAAAGTCCCTTAAAATTTGAGAAGCAGGTGAAAAAGCCTTCTTTATACCCTTCCTAAAAGCAAAGATTCCACTATTGTAATTGAAAAAAAAAATCCAGACATTTTTTTCTATCTGATATCAACCCATTCCACTCCATATACATTCCAGAGGATTTTAAAGAAAAAACCCTCTATTTTTTTTTTTAATGGCACTACTTGCACCTGTCAGAATGGGATAAATTAACCGTCAGTGTCGGACTGTCGAGAAGCTTTTTTTTCTAATATATAAAATTGAAATTTGAGTGTCGTATTTCGAAAAAAAAAAGGCCGTTGTTTTTCTTTTTGAAAAATCGTAATCGTAATTATACCGCGGCATAACCTTTGAATAAGCTAGGAATTTCTGAAGAGTAAGCATGGTAGGGTTAAATTCACTTTTTGTGTTCGTCTAATATGTAAAATTCTACATACAATACCAAAACATCGAGTAAAAATTTATTTATATAAATAAAGTATTTACAAATATAAATAACATAAAGTTATAAACAAAAAAAAAATATATAAAATTGTTTCAAAGTTTGTCGTGCGAATAGCCTCCGTAATTAGCACGACCGTCGGGTGGATAACTTCGGTAATCGGCACGACCGTCGTGCGGATAACACCGGTAATTAGCACGACCGTCGTGCGGATAGCCTCGGCCGACCAGATATTGAACATAATTTTCCAATCAAATTTAAACAGTAAAAGAGAGTCATGCTTCTTTGCATACTTACGTACAATCGTTTTGTGCTTTTTTACTTAGTGTATTGATACTCCCAGTTACCAGCATCCCTACCATCAACACTATCTGCATGCAGGAGAACGCCATTTTCCCATCATGTGACTTTCAGCACCAAATTTGATCACGTGATTTATTGCATTTTTCTTTTTCTTTCTTTTTTGCATCTTTCTCAAAAGTGTATGTATGCCAACCCTGATTTATTAATTTTTTTCTGAAATAAATAAAAATCACAAAACATCCTAAATTATTAATCATGTTTATGTATTGTGTATTAGGTCGGGATCGATGACAGGAGAATACGAAACCAATCTTGAATGACTTAGCGCCAAAAATAGGCTTTAAAAAAAGCAAGGGTTTAGTACGAAAGCGAAAGTATTAAGAGATAGTAGTATTCTGCTAAAAGGGTGTCCAGGTAAAATATTTTTTTCTTTGTAATGTACTTAGACACTTCTTTGATGTTTATGTTCGGTACAAGGGTCATGTGATAGTTAAGCCTAGGGCCTGGCCCCTTCTATAATCCTTTGGAAATGTTTTAAAATTACGGCCCGTGAGACTTTCAATTTAACCAATTCATTCTATTACGCGCGTCGGATCAAAGAGGCATCTTATCCGCTCCGTTCTGTGAAATATATGTGTAATAGAGAATATAGCGGATAAGATGTCCCTGTGATCAGATTCTATGAAATTGAAGACAACAGTTGAACTTTTTACTTTCGTTTCTCTAGGATTGTAAACAAATCAAAGTGACTTACCTTCTTTATATTTTAATACCGCGATATTGATTTTCTTAATAAAACATTTATTCTTCGTTTTTTTTTTTTTAATTTCCATATGAAATACATTGTACAGTAATTGTGTACTAGAAGCTTAATTTATGAAAGACAAATAAAAATATCCTTGGACCTGAGGTTTACATTCGGGAGGGTGGAGGTCCTGTTCACAAGCACCTGTGTCGATAACCCAAACTGAATGAAACAAGTGCCTTGGTTTGAGCAATAATGACAAGGACGTTTAGCTTTTGCAATAAAATTTCACAAGGCACACATCCGATCTATTTCTGCAAATGGGACAGATCAGTAACAAAGGATGACTGCACTTAACGCCTGTTTTGGGGTCCTTTTCGGTTGCTTTTGCAGAGCTCCAGATAATTTTTTACCTCAAAGTGTATTTACTCCCTGATTTTCAAATCAATGCAGATTTTACTTTTCAGCAAAATCTATATTGCTCTTTTTGACATCCAATGTGTTTTTAGATTGTTATCGAAATAAGCGTTTTTGAAAGAGGAATGTAAAAAAAGAACAGTTTCTGCATTTATCAATTAGGTTAATGAAATATATTAGGATTTGCTATATAAATTGTTGGCATCGCTCGAGGTAAAAGTTACTCCCCGTTTGCATTAAAAGTCGTGTGGCGCTATTTATAGCAAAGGAGCCATGTGGAAAGCCAAAAAGCATTTATTTTCATACAATTAATAAAGGTTGTCGGCGGACTTTAGATGATATTATTGCTACAGAAAATGGTAAATATATAAGAACTGTTTAATAAACAGTGATAAAGGATAAATTAGACACCATGCGTCTTTTTGCGGAATTTTGACAATATCGACGCGTACACATCAAGAACGAAAATTTGGATGTTATTTGAACAGTAGAAATCTGTGATATTTTCAGACAAAATGCGAGTATTTAATATTCAAATCTTTCTCCCGAACTGGAAATCAGCCTAGGTTATTCCGAATACGCTTATAAATCAAAATTTTATTTTGATAAAAATTCAAACACTGAGCTGACCTCAATTCACATAATTAGTACTTGTATCATTCAATCTGTCGTACATGCATGCAGTACTTTTGTAGTGTAATGCTTATTTATGATTGCTAATGCGTAAGTGTATGCCCTGTTTTAATTTTCAATGCGTATTTTGAAAAAATCAATGCATATTTCTGCAAATACGCACCTTATCTGGAGCTCTGCTTTTGTTGCTTTTATATCTAAACCTTATTTCACTTTTGTATGTTTATGAAAGAATCCTGTCAATTTGGAACCAAATTTAAATCTTAAAATGATTTTAGACTGTGATACAATAAAGTGATTCAATGTTTTTTATCCTTACTGCTTTCCAAATATAGTGAATTTACACTTACCTGTCCTTGATTGAACATTAGATATGCATGAGAGGTGGAGCTAACATTGTAAGAATGGGTCTAAAATTAGACTTGATAAATAACAATGGCATGTTTGAAAAAAATTACGTGATCACTCTTTCCAATCTCCCTCTCCATTCTGTATGGTACAAATACACTTCTGACAAAGGTTTTAAAATGAAATTAACAATATGAGCACGTCAATGTGATTAAAGCAGATTTTATATCAATGCCAGATGACTTAATGTGTTCGAACACAATGTCCTAGTTAGCACAAAACATGCTACCTTACAAGTCACGTGACGGAATTTAGTATTCACAAAGTTACCTGAGGTAAGAAATCATGTGGTGAATCATAATATTCCATATGTCACAGTCCTTGGTTACAACACAGAGAGCAAATGTAAGAAGAAGCAGTTTTTTTCTCTTTTTTTACCATGAGCGCATATTTGTCTATTAATCTCCTTTTGACACATTATTATTTATGCAAATATACAAATACTGTTAAACGTAGAACAATAGACAAACATGCCCTGAGTCCTATGTATAAAGTCAGTAAAAAAGTGGGCGTCCTCATTATCGAACGGAGATTCAAGAAATTGTGAGGACCCCTCCCTTTGAAAACAGATTCGAACTTCATAAATACACACTTTTATTAAATGTAATTACATAAAGTTGTAGATTGGACGTTGACCATTCTTGCAATGAAAAGAAAAATGCTTGTTTTGAAAGTTTATTTTGTTGCAAATTTCGCATGTCCTTAAGTGCAGTCATCATTTATTGTTATGCAAGAAAATTTGACAATTTAGATTGGACTCACTCAGGGGTCTGACCATATCCTGAACTGGTACTCAAGAAAATTGCTTAAACAAATGACTAGTCATACTTTTATATGTCTTGTTGCTATGTTCCCCCTTGTAATGCTGATTGTAGTCATTAAATTGATTGATTTTATATAGATATCAGATTATCCTAATATTTTTATTCACTCTCTTTTAGATTCACAAGAAAATGTCTTCAACATCACAGAAACACAAGAATTTTGTTCAGGAGCCAATGGCAGAAAAGCCTGTGACAGAATTGGCAGGCATTGGACCAACACTTGGAGGAAGACTTATTGAAAATGGTTTTGATTTGGTTTGTATTGTTACTATTATAATAAACTGACTGTGTTTCCTTATGAAAAAAACCATTGTAATAAATATAGAAAAAAATGATGTCTGTGGTTATGAGACGTGTGTGTATAGATGTTCCTGTGATGAAAAACATATATATGCCCCCTTTAAACTCTTGAACTCGATGGGGCGAAGAAAAAAACTTCGAGATATCCGAGGATTCGAGATATCAAGGGTAAAATAGTTAAAGAATAAGTTACCGTGACTTCCAAATCATTTCGACGTATCCATGATATTCAAAATATCGGTGTTTGAGATACCGAAGTTCAACTATAGATCTATAACTATATTTTATATTGAAAATAGTTTCCTGGTGTATATTCTCATTAAAATTGTAGAGATTTTTTTATTTTGCTTTACTTCCTTTATCAAATTTCAGTAAAATCTGGATCATGTGATACTTGCTCTAATGCTAAAAAAACCATTCATATTGGTGGACTTTTTTTTAAAGGGCCTGGACACAGTTGCATTGCTGTTTCATGTACAATTTTAAATTTCTATTTTTATTTAAAAAAAATAACTTCAGTTTAATGAATTGAACTTTATTGAAAATTTTTAAAATTCAGTGACAAGACCTTCTTCATCACAGTATGTCAAACATCTGTGTTTGTAAACATGGGCAGGAGTATTGTTTATGTATTAATACACATTTTACTGTGTGTGTTCAATTTGTTAACTCTACACACGTCACTGAACACGGACTGACAGTTTTGCTTTCTCTCATATCGACTCTAAATTTTCTGGATTACAGATTTAAATTTTTTTCTTTATCAATACGCAAGAACTTTTCCATTTTTCTTAAATATTAAAGATAAATTTTACTTCATGAAAGTTTAAGGATGTGTGTCAAACAAATATGTCCAGAAATTCAAAGTTATAATTTTCAGATAAAAGAAGTTTCTAAACACGCTTTTATAATACATCAGTCTGAAATGCTCTAACAACATGTAAATATTCTGAAAATTTTAGAAAATATTAACTTCAAATCTGTGTCCAAGCCCCTTTAAGCATTCCATATGACTGTGCAACCAAAAATTATATAGCATTGCTTGTGCTTCAAATATTGTATAAATAAGGCAGTCAAGAATTAAAAATATTGATTTATATATGAAAAGCTCAACTTAAAGTGTACTCTGTTAAATGTATTTTTTATTTTTCTCTCTAGGCTTATGTAGTTCTGGGACAGTTTTTAGTCCTGAAGAAGGATGAAGAGATGTTCAAGGACTGGTTAAAAGAAGTGTGTGGTGCCAATGCTAAACAACAGGAAGATTGTTTCCGGTGTCTTAAAGACTGGTGTGACAATTTCCTGTGAAAAAGTAATAATGCAAACTTACTTGGAAGCCTTTCATCAGTGAAGATGGGAATAGGTCATTTATACATTACCAACTGCAAACAATTATGAAATGAGCATTCTTAAAGTTGCAGTAATATCAAATAATACTGTTTTATTTAATTTTTTATGTTTATGTAATTAAGGTTTTTAATGTTACTCATGTTGATGGAGATCAAAAATTAATTATTTGCTCTATATATAATTAGGAAGATGATAATATGTTAGTGATTATATGCTTATTATCTACCCACGGTATTAGAGTTTGTATGCATTCATGGTAACATTGTTGCAGTTTGTGCTTCTTGCTTTAATCAGCAGGAGTCTTGCAAGAAATTGTACTGTAGTTAACCCCTAGAAATTGTATCAGTCCAACCATTTAGTTTTCCCTTTTCCCTCAAAATTTTGTTTTCAGATAAAATATTATGTTCAAATTAATGTTTTAACAGTAATTTTGGTTGTCCATCTCTCTGGTTCTTTTTCCTTAATTTAATCTTTTTGTACTTTCATGATTGCTGTCACCCCCCATCATTACTATTAATTATACAAGGTTTTCTTCATTGGGGCCTTGCTGACTGGTCATTTTTCTTGAAATCTTATTCTTTTTTCTCTACGTGTAATGCTTAACAATTTGACGTATTTGAAGTTCAATAGTTAATGTGTACAAATTGTGTTGTGGTATATTGTATATCAATATTACAAAAAATGCCTAAGCTGAGATTATTGTTCTTTTGTTCATATTGTCATGTTTCTTCCTTTTAATTAATTCAAGTGACATATTAATTTAAAATCCTTTCCAATATTTAATCTACCATTGCTAAGATTATATATGTAGCTGATGATTTTAAAGACTGGGTTTTTTTCCTCATTACATTTCATTTTTATGCCCACAATATAAATACCAGTAAAAAAAGATTGAATCCCATATAAATGTGCATTCAAAGAAATGCATAAAGAATAGTCAAGTACTAAGAAAAATAAATAGTTTGCAACAGCATTAGGATATTATGTGAATGCCCTCATATTTTGTTATTTAAGGACAGATGATGCAAACAGAAAATGGATGCCTGGATTGGAATATATTTTTGGACCTATTTTGGTTGTAATTGATGCAAATATCAAATTTCTAAAATATCAAGAAATTGTAAACTTTCTATGATGTTCAAAATTCTACCTTTCTGCAATCACCCTTATAAATCTATACATTTTCACTATATAGGACATTATTGTGAAATTTTGAATGAAAAATTAAAATCTATGCGGTTAAACTTACTCATTATACTTAAATAAACATGACTAAAATGGTTATTTTCTTGGTTTTTGAAAAAAAAGTTTGTTTGTGTCGTCTGTTCTTAAATAAAAGCACTTGCTATGATAACATTTCTTCTAATAAATCACAAACCAGCCAGATTGTGAAGCAGTTTCAGTCTATGGAGTATTTTCGTCTTTCTCAACAAATTTTAGTTAGACACTCATTTTCAACGTTGTGCTTGTCCCTTAGTCAGAAAGCTTGAACGTTTTCAACCTCTTCTCAGGAACGGCTGAACAAATTTTAGCCAAGTTTTAGGTCACCTTCATGAAGTTGAGATGAACTAATGCTACACCTCTGTGTAGTAGGCGTTCCAACAGTTTGCTGAACCAAAATTGCATGCATTATGATTAATAAATGCATGCAAAGATCCCCCCCCCCCCGATTTTCAGTGTTATTTAAATAATAAAGTAATCGAAAGGGACTGTACTCCTGTAAGAAACAAGGGTCCCTCGTAAAGTTGGTAGGAAGAGTTTTTGCGATTAGACAAGAATGTAAACATTTTTGAGTCAGAATTATTTTGTTTTAGCAAGTATGCCCCCCCCCCCCCTACACACACCACCACCATCACCACCTAAACTATTCTGGATCTGGCCATGTAATGAGTACTCAACCTTTTACAAAACTTGCGAAATTCATGGCCCTAGAGCGGGGCTTAGTTGGTACATAGGTATTTTATTGCATCATTGAAAATCTCTTCCCATGTCATATAATGAAAAAGCATTATAAAAATCAGTACAAAATGATTGATGCAAAACTTCAAATCGGCCGCAAATAAAATTAAGCATTTTAAAAAAAGTACTTTCAAAGTGAAATAAAAGATTTTCAAAGCTGAAGAATGTACAAATTTTTTATTTCAAAGTATCCCCCCCCCCCCGCCACCAAAATGAAATTTTAAAAAAACGCACATACACAACAAGTTGCAAGATAGACAATTCAAATGGCACATACTTTCAGTACAACTGATTCATCAAAATCGGTGATGAATGTCATGAAATTTTCCACCCTGGATGTTCGTCACGTGATGATACCAATGATTTCTGGAGATGCACGGCGCAGTGATGGACAACAACAAGAAATCCAAAGTGTAGAAAAAATATCGTTGTCATTCGCAGCTGTAGCATATTCAAAACAATTTTTCCCAGTTCTACCAACTTTTCAGTTTTATATATTCATAACTGTTTCACACTGTAATTATTATCCATAAAATCATAACGATTTATGCAAGAGCATGGTCTACGTATGAACAATTTCTAAAACGAGGCAAGCTATTGACAAACAAGTTGATGAAACAAGGATATCAACAGTCTCGTTTGAAGTCATCTTTTCGCAAGCTTTACGGACGATACAATGACCTTGTCAGCACATACAACCTATCATTGAGTCAAATGCTGACTTACGTTTTTCATACTAATTGTTAGGCCATTATTTATACACTGAACTGTCTACGGATTTCTCCGTTATTACCCGATCATGACAAGGAGCACACGGCAGGTGTGACCGGTCGGCAGGGGATGCTCACTCCTCCATGGCACCTGATCCCACCTCTAAATTTTGAGATCCGTGTTGCTCTGCTTCAAATTTGTATCGTTTCATTGGACTTTCGAGCTTGAATGCTGTTCGTTATCTTCATATTTCATTCGACAGTCATCTCATACATGCCCAAAATCTCCATCCAAAGCGCTTGTTGGCTTTCTGGTTGTTTGAAATTGAGGAGCCATCGTAGCGAGCCATGATCAGTACGGACCACAGATCTCCGTCCAAACAGATAGTGTCTTTAAGTATTTTACGAAACAGACGAAGCTAGTCGAACACTCAGCAAGGCAGAGCGATACTCTAGGACTCTCTCAGATCCGTTCTGGCTCTGTGATAAGAACAGCTCCTATGGCCATGTCGCTCGCATCTGGTCAAGAACGAAAGGCTTACTGAAGTCAGGGAAAGCGAGTATGGGTTAATTAACCAAAAAACTTTTCAATTTATCAAATGCCGACTGACATTCCTCAGTCCACTTAAATTTGGCATCTTTGTTTGTTAGATTGTGTAAAGGTTTTACAATCTTTCCGAAGTCTTTCACAAACCGCCGGTAGTAGCTGCATACCCCAGTGAATGATCTCACTTCTTTAATAGATGTCGGTTCTACCCAGTGTTTGGTAGCTTCTTCCTTTTTAGGATCTGTTGCTACCCTAGCCTTAGAGATAATATGTCCAAGATATTCAGCTTTCTGTCCAATTATTTCTTTGCTCTCAATTTGAGCCTAGCTAACTGTTATCGATCAAAGACCTTCTGGAGATTCTCTGTCATTTCTTCAAAGGTTTTGCTAAACAATCATCGATATATATTTTACACTTATCCTCTGGTTGTGAGTGGGATAGCCCTTTTATCAAACCCGCGACAGGGACTATTCCTCGAGAGCTTGCCCGAGGGGGATAGTTAATGTCAAGGGTTTGATGAAAGAGCTATCCCACTCACAACCAGTGGATAAGCGTTTCATTATACTGATGTATATCATAATTTCTGAGGGTTGGATTACCTGATACTACAGTTTCATAGAAAAAACATGAAAAGAATAATTATAAAAGTTTCGAACAAGTATTTGGATTAAGATAACACTGAAAGAATGAGCTGAAATCCTGAGGTCGTCACAATGCTACTGACATCATCAGTCTATAGATGATCGCAGGAAGTCAAAATTGGTCTCAAAATTGAATGAAAATTTTCCGAGGGTTGGATAGCACAAACTACACCCCGATAGCTTTGCTAGACGTGAAATTTTCAGACTATAGAAAAAATGTTACTTTACTTTCTTAACTTTATTTAGGAAATGTTTTACCAGAAGTATGATAAAAGACATATCTCCCATTGGAGACCACACAGGACTGTCTCCATGAGCCGTTCGAAGGTCGCTGGAGCATTGCAAAGTCCGAACGGCATTACCTTGAACTGATATAAACCCTTTTTTGTAATAAACGCTATTTTTGGATCTACTTCAATTTTCCAATATCCCGATGAGAGATCAAGGGTTGAGAACCAGCAGGATCCTGAAAACAGCAGGATTTAAGGACTCATCTATCCTCGGAAGAGGATAGGCGTTCTTGATAGTAACGTCGTTCAATTTTTCTATAATCTACGCAAAATCGAAGGCTCCAATCTTTCTTTCGAGCAAGAGCTACTCTGGCCGCCCAAGGACTTGTTGATTCTTCCATGACATCTGACTTGAGCATCTAATCAATTTGTTTGTCTATACCGGTATTGTCCTTCCAATGAACAGGAATTCCTTGAAGAGGCTGTCTTACTGGTACTCTTCACCCTGTATTTATGGAATGCATTACAATATCTGTCCCTTCCAAAATCACTGTTATCTTTAGAAAAAAAAATTCACATTCTGCAAGAGTAATGATCCGTCTATTGCTGGCTCAGTCCCTTGCTTGGTCTATCAAGCAATTCTCTGAGAGCTTTGGGTAATTCCTTCAAATGTTTTATTGGTGCTTTATGCGATCCCTCTACTATGCCATCAGCTGGTGTTAAGTTTGCAATGGCAGTTCCACTATGGATGACTTGTACGTTTGGACTATGATTGATCAGTCGACAACGAAGGAACCGAGTTTTGGTTTGTGGCAAACACTTTGCCAATTATCCCTCTTTCAGATTTTAAAAAAATCTTTATCTCCTCTAGTATCCCTAAACCTCTTGGCAATGGCTCCTTGTTGCAACTCGAGACAATTTCAGATCTAGGTGGTATATCGATGGTGTCTGCCAAAGTAGTAACACGGTAACATCCAGTATGACCCGCTTTATTCAAAGATGAGGTTTTTCCGCTAACATCCAAAATCTGAGTTGTCAAGTCGACAACACACTTATTTCCGATCAAAAAGTTAGTCTAACCTTATAATTGCATCGACAGTCAACTCTCTAAAAACAACTTCGGTGCTATACAAGACAATACTTATAAGGATTGGGACACCGAGTTTCCCATTAATTGTAAGAGGGTCATTCCTTGCTGATATCACTGGTTGGCTGACTTTCTTTAAAGTTTCAACTGAGTTGTTGTTTTCGAGAAGTTTATCATATACATGTTTAGTCAAAAGAGACAGTGTAGTTCCTGTGTCAACCAATATATTCAAATCAAAACCATCAATAGATGCTTTAACAAAAATACCAGCATCCCAAGTAACCCTTACTTTTTCAGGAGACTCCTTTTTGCATGGCTCTTTTGTTTGCTTTGTTCCTCTCTGCACTGCATTGAAATTCTAGGGCTTTTCTTTTTGAGATGCCCCATCTTGCCACAGTTATAACAAGAAGCGTCTTTCTTCCAATCAGTCTTCTTTGTCCTTTTGTCCTTTTCTAGATCACCATGTTTTGTTTAAGCTCTTTGAGCTCCTCCAATGGACGTCATCGCCTTTTGAAGATTC